GGTGATGTGTTGTACTAATGAATATGTTGGTTTGTAAAGGATTTTGGTTAGCCTACAATTATGGGGGTATGTTTCTTGGCATTTAAAATGGTGTTTTAACTTAGAAAAATTTAAAATCCTTTCCCTCCAGGTGGATGGTGAGTATTGAATGGCTGCTCCGTGGCTTGTTGGTGAAATTATTAAGGTCACTCCACGTAGTTAAAAGGGAGGTTTATTTTGTGGGGTAACTTACAAGTGAAGGGGTAAGTAGGTCACAGGGTCTGGGAAGGATGTAGTGCAGTCCGGCGGTGTGGGTCTTCAGGGCCTTCTCTCAGCCCCACCTTGTAGGCATGACAGTTACCGAAGCCCAGTGGGGGTTGGAACTTCCAGACCAAAGCTGGAATGGCTACCCACTACAGTGGCTTGTTGCATTTTATCCTAAAACAGTTAAAATGTGGGGTTTGGCAACCTTACTGAGGATGTGCTCTTCAGTTATTCTTTGGATTTTAAAGGAAATACGTTTTATAGTTTACTGTTTCATGATGAGAGTTGGAACTGCCAAGATCTTCTGTGTTTATTAATTTGGTTTTTTAAGAGGTAAGGGTTTGCTGCACTCAGTGACATTCCTGCCTCGGCCTCTGGAATAGCTGGGACTGTAAAGTGTGACCCTCCATGTCACTTTACAGACGGACTCTGCTGACACAGCTTAGACTTGTGTGGGAGATGAAGTTGCAGTTTACAACTTACTAAGTTTACAGCTTTGAGGAGCAGAATCCTTGTATGTATTTAACACGGCTCTCATGGTCAAGCTAGGCCACAGTAGTGTTTCAAGTTGAATATGGGTTCGGTTTTTTTGCTTTTCTTCTGGGAAATCTTAAGTTTCCTTAAATCTAAATACCAATGTTTTCTTCTTTAGTTACCCATTTTCCCAAGTTTAGCGTTTTAAATTCCCTTTACCTTATAACCTTACATTATTCCAAAATTACAGGTTGAACACGTACTTCCTCTTTTGAAACGGGGGATTGGTATTCATCATGGTGGTTTACTTCCTATTTTGAAGGAAACTATAGAAATTCTCTTTTCTGAAGGATTGATAAAGGTATTGTTTTATTTTTTATGTCTCAAAATTGTGTTGTATGAACAATGTAACTTGATCAAACTAGTGACCATTGTTTATAGGCAGGTTTGTTGTTGATGTTTGATTTTACAGTGTTCCACCACCCAGTCCCTATTGGCAGATTTGTCTTGTCCTGTCTTGTCTTTTTCCGTCTCGTCTTTTTTCTGACACAGTGTCTTACTCTGTAGCCCAGGTTGTCCTCCAACAGCAATCCTGCTTTGCCTATTGTATGCTGGGATTATGGGTATGAGCCATCCTATCTTGCTAGCTTTTTTATATTTGTCTGCTTTCTAAAAAATGTGTTTGTATAGAACGCCTTAGGGAAGTGCATTACTTTAGGTGATGAGCTCGACTACACATGGTGCCCTACCAGTGTTACAACCCTGGAGTGTAGGCAGAAGAAGTTACTTAGTGTCTTAGGTGGTGACACCGCCTGGCTGCAGCACAGTCGTGCAGAGTGTGCTGTTTGCTAGACTGGAGGCTGACTGGATAACTGCTCCTCTCCCTCATTGACTGATTAAAGGCGTAGCTGGATGCACGCTGTTTGCTATACTCAGG